GGGGACGTCGCCTGGTGCGATAGAGCTGCGACCTCAACTTCGAGCCAGGCCTGGGGTCGAGGTTTGTGGGAGAGTGCCTGGGGGTCGGCTTAGTTCCCCCGGGACCTGACTGGACCAAGCCTGATGGTGTGGCGAGAGGCCATCCCCAAGGGGGGCCTTCCATCTGCAGGGGGAACCTTAATGGATCGGTGTCAAGAGGCTTGATAAAAAAAAAAAAAAACAGGGCCATCAAGATTTAAAAAGTTATTTTTGAAAAACTGCTCATAATCACACAAAGGAAAAATCAGATGAAATCTGATTTAAAGTATTTATAAATGATACATAACATAATACTTTACCTGTACTTTATCCATCCATCCATTTTCCATCATGCTTATCCTAAGCGGGGATGGGAGGGGTGCTGGTACCTATCTCCAGCTGTCTACGGGTCACCAGTCTATTGCAGGGCAACACAGAGACAAACCATTAACACACACACACACTCACAGCTAAGGAGAATTTAGAATTTAGACAAGCATAGTAACCTAACAGTCATGTGTTTGGATGACCGTGCAGTGCTACCTGTGTGTCACTGAGCAGTCAATACTTTATCTATGTAGAAATCAAATTGAAAAAAAAAAAATTCAATGTACAGGGTTTCTTTGATTTTTAATCAAAATTTATACATTTATTGATTAAAGATTAATTTATTCTATTAATAAAATGTTAAATTATTTTCAACATTCACCCCTTAGATATTGATATCCATATGAATGAAATATGTTTATATAAATATAAAGTTTTGGCTTAACTAAAAAACATTTACATTGTTAAAAATCAATCATATAAATGGGTAGGTAATTTCAAAGGTTAATAAAAAAAATAATCTGATTAGAAATTTTGATATGACTCGAGCCTTTTTGTGCTATCATATGTTTGTTTTTGTTTTGTTTTTTTTTAGCGTTTTTACATCTATATTGTATTTTGAATGGCAAAAACTGGGAAATTTAACTGTCACTCTGCATTAAAATTGTTTATCTTGTAACAGGGCAGCTTTAGCCGTTCAAAATTCAATATACAAAATGTTTACACATACAAAAACGATAATTATTATTTCATGTATATATTTATTTTTTCTTTCTTTATCTTTCTAACTTTTTCTTTTCTTTCTGTTTAGGCAAATCCTTGGACACCCTGCAGCTCTTTGACAACACAGTGGGGTCCTTCGTTTAGCGCCAGATTGGATTTCTCCATTTCCCTCTTTCTCTCTGTGGAAGCAGTTCAGTGGATTCTCTAAATAAAATAAATGATTTCCTGGCTATGATAGGAATTTTAGGGCTTTGATCACATAAAACAAAGCGATCTATTTATTTAGTTTTGTGTTGGCAGAAGAAGGACGAATCAGGAAGTCGAACAGCTACGAAAGGAGGTAAGAATCTGTTAGTAGTTGAAACTTTATTTCTTTTTTTGTTTGTTTGTTTTATTGTGTTTATTTTCTTAGGTTGAATATATCCACGATAGTAAATGCACGTTTTTTTCTCTCATCTTTTTGACCTACATTTGTTAGCAATTAGCTTTTTAAACCTGTGTAATGTCTCAGTTAATTTCTTCTTTACGGGTTTGGGCCCAAACACTAATATATATGGAGTGAATTTTGTTCCATTATTGTCGCAAAGAACATATTTTGTAAATGGAAATTTGAATAAAATATGCAATCCAGAAATAAACATTGCAAGAAGATATTATGAAGAACTTTGCTGTTTTCTCAGATTTTTTTCCAGCTTTGTTTATTGCTCTAATTGTGTTTTTTTTTTTTTCAAAAAATGTTTTTACGGATTTTATATAGCAAAGTTTTTATTTTATCTTTCAAAGGAAACCCTGCTCGCAGATGTAAAGAGAATTTGATCTGGAAAACATTGTTTTAAGAGAATACAATTCAAAAACTCCATTTGGAAAAGAAAATAAATAAAAAAGTAGCAATAATAAAATATTAAAAAT